TTGATTTGTTTAATCTCAACTTAAATGAAGATATGGATAACCACATGTATGTTTAAGTGTATAGGATTGATAACCATATTACTAAGTTTATGTTGGGTAGTTGAACAGAACCATTTGCAGTCTCACTGTTTGAATCCCTACTTTGTATGTTTCACTTTTGTAACTTGAACAACTATTTGTAAAAGGACAATATTTAATCAACTAGTGATTTTTTTTTACTAGTGATTTCTTACTGTTTATTTTTTCTTTGAAAGTATGTATTATTTCTACCCATTTTCTGTTTTGTTTAGTCTTTCTTTAAATAAAATTTTAAAAACAAAAAAATAGAGCTAGACCATCTTGAAATGTAGCCTTTAATATTTTGAAGGTATCAGTATATTAATTATAAACAGCTACCTCACACATTTCTAGTGTATAGGAACACTTTCTAGACCTCATCATGGTCCAAAAAATCCACATTTGTAATTCTATGGAAAAGTTACTGAAATTTGAGTAAGTTAATTCCAATCTACCACTTCCAGTGCGATGCATAGTGAGAATATAGACAGTAATTCATATTTGTAGTTGTGGGGAGCCAAGGGGAATTCTAAATCCAGCTAGTATGATGGCTAACAGGAGCAAAAGCCTCAACGGCTAGGGTAAAATCACCTCCTTTATTTTGAATCACTGGCTCATGCCATCTTTTTGCTCATTTCAATTGTCTTACCATTTCTTAAGCAAGTTTAAGTGCCAGGGACTACACTAAAAAGATAAAAACACCTGGAGGCTGACTATAAGGAACTTCTAGTCTCATGTCTTTCCTATGCTGAGTATACAAAGGCACATAAATGTATTTGTTGGTGCAATTTTAAATTATATTTCATGGATTTTCTTTGAAATGGTGATTTTGAGTACCTATCCTAACTTCCAGTAAAGCACTTTCCGTGATATTACTGGGAAATATATGTGAAGCCAAATTTTAGGTATTGAACCTGATTATAAAATTTTTTTCAGGGCAATAGTGGGCTTTGTTTTGCTTTAGTTTTCCTTTGTTTTGTTTGTACTGGGAAATATATGTGAAGCCAAATTTTAGGTATTGAACCTGATTATAAAATTTTTTTCAGGGCAATAGTGGGCTTTGTTTTGCTTTAGTTTTCCTTTGTTTTGTTTTGTTGAGACAGGATTTTCCTACATGGTTGAGGCTGGCCTTGAACTCACTACGTAGCCCAGGCTGGCCTCAAACTTACAGCAATCCTCCAGCCTTAACCTACTGAGTGCTGGGATTATGAGTTTGTGCCACCATGGCTGGTCCTCCTTTTTAAAATGTAAAAGAATAGGTTATTTAATCATTTCAGTTATCTTTATAGACCAGGACTCCCAATAGTGAATGTTTTTTTTTTAATTTTATTTAAGGAGAAAAGAAAAAAAAACAGTGAAAGGGTACAAGTTATACAGATTTACAGAAGAAAAAAATGAACAGTAGGAAATCACTAGTTAATGGATTACATATTGCCGTCTTAGAAATAATTGTTCAAGTCACAAAATTAAAGCTTGTAGAGTGGATGTTCCAACAATGATACTGCAAACAGTTCTGTTCAATGATCCAATAAAACTCTGTGATATCATTTTTTATCTTATACACTTAAATATACATGCAGTTATATAGTTTAGAGCACTTTCTTTTCCTCTCTTTTGTATAATGACTATTACACATTTTGGGTTTCATTGCTCCCACGGTTCTTATTGCTTTTTTGGAAGAGAGTAAAACCAAATGTGACATAACAGAACAGAATCGGTCAAGTCAAAAGGGTGGACATAATAGATAATGTAAAAACATAATACAAGGTGATCAACAATGGTTACCATAATGCCTCCCGCTATCTCTAATAGAATTGCCTATATCACTAGTTATAATACAATTGAACAAAACAGTAAAGAACAAAACCGACAAAACCAAACCATTGGAGACATTGTAGGTGTTCAAAAGTAGATAAAAGTCAACGAGAATGGGCGTTATAATGAATCTCATTATCTTCACAGCTGATGCCTAAACTTTCGAACCTGATACTATCCAGCAAAACAGAATAGGGGAACATCAGTCAAAACAAGATGGTGAGAGTAATACAAGGCTTCAAATCGAGATAATAGAAAGTCAAAGTGGGTTACTATAATATATCCTGCTATTTTTTCCCTTTAATTAAACGGATAAAAATAAAAAAAGTAAATAATGGAGTGGAGATTGAGATAAAAGAGGGCATAACAATAAAACAGCGCAGATCAAAACATAACCATTTAAGCAGAATAGTGTTTCACCATCAGATAATCCCGACCCAAAAGTAGTTACCATATTGACTCTTTCCTTAAAGTCCTTGAGTACAACTTCATATACTGTAGCATTAAGTATATCAAAACAATGTAAAATCATTTAAGAGAATGACAGCATTACAGAGTATTTAGAATCGACTAACAGAAAATGAACAATGGTTTCTGTATAATCTCCATGTCTTTAAAAGGTTTTTGCTTATACTATCGTACATAATAAAATCCAATAAGATACAACCTATTTAGACCATTGGAGACAGAAGAACAAAAGCTAGATGAGACTTCAAAACAAGATGATACTAAATCAGTATTACCTATTAAGATGTCATTTTCTCCAAAATAGCTTTTCCTATCATCCAATCTTCTCTGTCTCATTTCTGTTGAGCTCTTTTTCTGTCAGTAGCTGTCAGTTTGTCTTCTTCATTTTGTTCTCTGCTCCATTCATTGTGGCCTCCCCGCCACTATTTCTGGATTCTTTGTATTTTTCTTTTTTTAGAATATCCTGCAATACTCTCTGTAGAGTTGAATTGGTGGTTGCAAATTCCCCCAGTTCCTCTTTATCCTGGAAGCACCTTGTTTTTCCATCAATTTCCAGGGACAGTTGTGCAGGATATCTCAATCTTGGCTGGAGATTATTATCTTTCAAAGCTTGAATTATTTCCCCCCACGCTCTTCGTGATTTGATGGTTTGTGCAGAGAAATCTGCTGTAATTCTGATGGGTGTTCCCTTGTAGGTGGTCTGTTTCTTGTCTCTGACAGCTTTTAATATTCTGTTCTTGTATTGAATTTCTGGAATTTTTATTATTATATGCCTGGGTGTTTCTCTGTTTGGGTTGTAGGTAGCTGGGGTCCTGTATGCCTCATACATCTGAGTATCTTTACCTTTTGCTAAATTAGGAAAATTCTCCTGGATTATTTCTGTGAGTAGCTTTTGTAGTTCACTTGTTTGTGTCCCTACTTCTTCTTTTATGTTCTTAATCCTTAAGTTATGGCTCCTCTTATCATCTTCTTGTCTTTGTATTATTGCTGTTTTTTTCTTTGTTATTTTTAAGAAGTTTTTCATTTCATTCTCCCATATTACAAGTCTGCCCTCCAGTTCAGATAGTCTGTCCTTAGTTTCTTTCAAGCTGTTATGCCAGTCTTGGATAGACTTCTTAGTTTCCTGGTAGTCCCTTTGAACCTGCTTCACGTACTCTATGCTTTCTCTGTTTTCTCCATCAAACAATTCTCCCCTCTTTTTCTGTTCTTCCACTCCACCATCTGTTTTTTCCTGGGTGGTGCTTAGCATTTCTCTAACTATTCTGCATACTTCTAGCTTCAGGTCGTTGATAACTTCATTCCTGAATTGGTCTATGAGGCTCTCTAGATGGTGCTTTATGTCTATTGGTGCGGTGTCCGCTATTGCCTGTTTCTCAGAATTGGGGGCCGAGGAGCCTTTCTTGTTGCTGCCTTTTCCCATATTCTCTGTTCCTTATATATATGCAAGCTTACATAGGAGGCCCAGCTTCCCTCCCTGTCAGCCAGAGCCTGATCGAATTGCGCTGGCTAGGTGTTCCCGCCCACCGGCAGCGCACCAGGGAGTTGCGGACTAGGCAGCCTACGCGGGAGTCACCCCTCCGGGCCACCGTCAGTCTCTGGGATCTGGGTTGGGCCAGCCTACTGAGTCCGCCAGCAGCGTCACGCAGGCCAGGCACTTTTCACCATTCCCGTCCGAGAGGGAAATGTGTGGCTGGAGTCGCCACCGCGCCCTGTTCCCGCAGGACTGCCCGAGCCCAGAAAGTCCTCCACTGGAGTCAAACTGTGGTAGAGTGTCAGTTTCTCTCACTCACCTTACCACAAGTCAGTGTACACCTCCCTGTCCGTCCTGTTTTCGACTCCGTTCGCAGACTCCCGTTCTCAGAGCTTCTGCGCGTCTCTCTCCTTGCCGAGCCCGATGTAGAGGCAGCCAGCTGCCGCGCGGCAGGAAACCCAAATCACGGCTTCCAATGGCGCGGGGTCCAGCCTCCACACTGAGACTTTTCTGTTCCTGTTTTAGCACCAGGACTGCATTCCAAGTTGGTTTCTCTCAGCCCAGTTCGTGCCTGAGTCAGCAGAGCATATCTCTACCGGCTTATGTCTCCTTAGTTCGCACCATTCCTGACTTCTGAACCAAGCCTTTCAGAGAGCCTCCGTAGTATCTGCTATCTGTCTGCCATGTTCTCCTGGAAGTCCCAATAGTGAATGTTAAAAGTGATTACTTGTGTTCCTGTTTTCCAGAAATTTTCAGTTCCCTTGTTTTTTCTGTACTGCTTTATATTTTTAAAATTTCTGGGGGTGTGATGGTGTATGACAATAATCCCAATCTTCAGGAGGCTGAGGAAAGATAACTGAGGACAACCTGTACAAAATAACAAGATCCTATTATTTGAACAAACAAACCAATCAACAAACAAAGAATTAATTTGTTTTGTTTTGTTTTGTTTTTTTGAGACAGGATCTCATTATGCAGTTCAGGCTGGCCTAGAACTCACTTTATAGCCAGGTTGGTGTTGAACTCACAGCAGTCCTCCTACCTCAGCCTCCCAAGTGCTGGGATTACAGTCATGTGCCACCCCTTTCTGGGGTCTATAAAATTTTTAAATTAAAAATTTCTGCTCTTGTTTATTAATGTTGCAGTTTTTTCTTACTTTCTTGTCACCTGTTGTTTTCCTCCCATACAGGGCAATGTTTATATGTACTACAAATTGTATGGCTTCTATCAGAATCTCTATCGATATAGTCAATCCAGAAGCAATAACCAATTGGTGGGTGAGGATATAAAGGTAAGGCTTTATTTAATTTGCTACTGTACTGTATCTTTCTTTTTCTCCTTTTAAGCCAGATGAGTCAGTCTAAAAGGATGGATAAAAAATAAATGCAAAACTAAAGATTTTACAAGCCAAGTTTTTACAAAACAGAAATGTTTATTTCATTCTACGTGTACTGAAAGGACTGGATATTCATGATAACTGTTACTGCGAAAGAACATTGCTCTTTACAGTGGTAACGTGAATCCTGTCCACATTTGGCTATCCTTTCATGCACTATTTTTGGGAGATCTTGTTTCAGTTTGGCTCAGTTGCTATCTATCATTGTCCTTTTTATAACTGGGGATTTCAATCCAACCTACTTGAGAAAACTGGACTCCTTCAACTGAATAAAGCCTTTGATTTAACCAAATATCATTTCAAGACCCAGGGGTACAAAGTTTTACTTTTGGTAGATGATATTTACCATGCTAGCAAGAAAGTTAGATGGAACTCTTATCTATATTGACATTATTGAAAATGATAACCACTCTTTTAAAAATGTATTCAAGATGGATTCCTTCAGCTAAGTCATCTAGCTATAGAATCACAGCCTGTACACTTTCCTGAATATAAATTTTACTACAATAAAAAAGATCTAGTGAATGTATTCCAGTATAAATTTAGAGTAATATATATATAATAGCTGATAAGAAAAAATTCCTTTCCAGACATTTTTATACTACATATTATTGTGATAAAAAATGCTTAGACAACCATATATGTACTGTACACATACATGTCTAAAACACAAAGATTTCTAGCCTAAGTGAGCCAGATAACTGGGGAAAAACACAGTGATCCATAATCTTGATCCATGCCAAAAAATTAGTGTGAGATGATTTACATTGCCAGTGTTCTCTCTTTCAAGATTCTAAGAGGGTTTATCAAAAGCATTCATCATTGCTCTGTCATCTTGTATCCAGGATGTTGAGGACTGTGCTCCATTCAAAGTGTCTCACAATGGTACTCCCATTGCTCCTTGCGGGGCGATTGCCAACAGTATGTTCAATGGTAGGTGATGTTTTCATATCTCTGGGATGTTCCTTTCATATCATTCCGATGTCCAGATTACCATGGCAGTTTAAGTAGCAGGGTTTTGCTTTGTCTTTTTAAAATACTGACCCATAGCACTGGTGTACAGTGTTTCATTTGCAAATAAGTCCTTTCTTGCCAGAAATAAAAAAGAGAAGTCAGTGAACAAAAGTTAAATGGAATTCAAGAGTATTTTTCAATAACTGGCTCGCCCTTGGCAAGAAAAACAAAATGGCCTTATGCGTGCAGCATCTATGGCATGTGAGCATCTTGAGTCTTTAAAAGCCCTGATTTATTTTGTAGCTGTGTCTGGTTCTGCATTTAAAAGGTAGCAAAATTGGTAGCTTGCAGATCTAATTTTTTATTTCTTTTCAGATACCATAGTTCTTTCATACAAACATACTTCTTCTATGTCTGTCAAAGTCCCAATGCTAAAGAATGAACTTACATGGTGGACAGATAAATACGTCAAATTTCAGAATCCACGTTTCACTGATCTTTCTAGCAAATTTGTGGGTAAGATTCAAATAATGGCTTAACAGTCTTATCTCTTTATAAACATTCTGCTTTTTTATGTGTGAGGAGATTATTGTGAGCCCTCTTCATAAATTTATTGACTACTTTTGACTTTAAATTTTCCCATTGTAGCTACTTCCATTATATACCTATCAGGATTCCCCATTTTTTTCCCCATTTATCATTAAGAAAAAAGCAACGTTTAAGAAAATTGATGTTTCACTATAATTAGTGTGGCCATCCCTCAAAGGGATGGCCCTTTTGAGATTAAAAGGGGGCATTAGAATAACTAGGTATAGATGTTTTAAAGTTTTCACATACCGAGCAATAAACTGACATCACATCAATAACATACACATTAATTTGACCAAAAATTATCTTCAAAAATGCAGTTCTTGGAGCTAGGTTGGTGGTGCACACCTATAATCTCAGCACTTGTGAGGCTGAGGCAGGAGAATCATCATGGGTTTGAGGCCAGCCTAGGCAACAGAGTTAGTTCAAGGCTGGGCTGAACTACATAGCAAAACCCAGTTTCAAAAAACAAAACGGAGCAGTTCTTTTGAAAATTAAAATATCACATATGTATACATTAAAGCAACTTTTAAAAACTAAAGTTATTATCTAAACATTTAACAATAATATAAGCAGAATAATTATTTTGGATATATATTCACATACTTTAATCAATTTCTTGGCTATAATTGTCTTCAATGTATGCCCCTATATTTTTCTGATGACTTTATTCTTTTTACTATGGTCTTACTAATTTTTTTCACAACATTGTCTGCAATCTTTTTTATAGTTTAATTTTAGGTTAATCAATATGAAATTATTGATACCTTCAACTGATTCTTCTCTGTTGTCTCTTAGTTTTATTGAGAAAGTACTCTATAGGATATCATGGTCCCATTATACTCACAATCAATTTTTCTAACTAGAGTAATTCCCAGTTTCAATTTCTTCATAGTTAGTAAAATATGCTAGTAGTTTAACCCAAATGTTCTCATTGGCATTATTTTTAAACCTCCCTTTTCTTTTATTTTTGATTCTTTTAAAGGTATCATTAAATTTAGACATTAAAAAATAGAAATCCCACACTTTCTCACTATCATTTCATTCTGGTACAAAAAAAAACTCTTTCCGATTAAAAAGAGAAGTGTTATCAGTAGTCACATAAATTGGGATATTCCAAAGCATAATTAAAGAATTTAAAAATTAAATCTTGTATACATTTTGAATACTCACTGTATAATATGTTCAATTATTCCTTTGCTCTTACAGAGGTAGACATTAGTGTCTTTTTCTTGTTTACAAATTTGGTGTCACTAATGGTGTATACTAAATCTTCAACAACTAAAAAATTTTAACTTTCTATATTTTAGAGATTTTTAGAAGTATTTTTAACATTTTGAACAAAATGCATCCCAAAGTTAGAGGATTCATTTACAGGAAAAGTTCAGGGTCATTACAGTATACATCATCTTATATACAAAAAAATTTCCTTAAAGGCTCAAACATTTCTAAAATTTTGGTCGATAAAACTACAAATAATATCATACTGATGTATATATTTATCATCTAGTCATTGTGGAAGTTTTGCAGTTCAGTTTGTGAATATACAAAAACATTTAGATTTGTACAACTGCCTTTCCTTTGATTAATAAAACATTGTCAATTCATTGGGTACAATGTGAATTGTGCATGTATCACAGTCATTTTTTAGGTGTACTTTTTCTGTCAATTTCTCAATTTACTAACAGCATTATCTTTTCTCTGATGCTGTGCCCCAACAACTATGCCCTTAAATTATCACCACAAAATCTAATAATTTAAACTTGATTGTTGAAATTTTTAGCTGAATTTGTAGTAATAGCTATTATAATGTCATAGGATTCTTCTTGAATGATTGACTTTCTAAATTTTTTGCTTTGATTTCATGGGAAATTAACTCCCCTACAATCAAACTATTATATCTTGCCCAGTTATTCTATTTGAAGACATTTGTGTAAATCTGGCTTCATTTAACCATTTATAAAGTTTTTTTGTGTGCTAATGAAGTCAATGACACACTAACACATTCTTTTTGGGTACCAAAAACAAAACAAAACAATTTTTTTAAAAAAGTGTAACTAGGAGGAAATCCATTTGATTTTAATGAACTCATGTTTACAGAATGATAATAAATAGACCTTTACAGAAGTTAAACCACTGTCATTGTATACAAGAGTTTAAAAGTTACCACAGTTGTTTGAAGCAAGTTGATATTCTTCAGCAGATTTATATCTTTTGATTTTCACGAAGTCATTAACATCACTATGATTCCCATGGTAGAATAATGTTGACCAACACTGCAAAGATCATAGTAACTTTCTTACGAAAACACTCTTAATTTCACATTAAACACACACATTCCATTTTTTGGTCCTTCACTGCTAAAATGCTTTATTAGTGAACCAAGAAACTGATACCAAGCAACACAATACTTGTATCATTACGTTGTATAATAAATAACAAAACCACTGTTGCAAAAGAGTGTAAGCTATTTCCAGCAGATTCACTCAATATCTGTTTCCCACACATAGCGTCATGTATGTATCACCAAAACTTTAATATTCCACATTTCCCACTGGTCCCACTGACCTGCAGCCTGGAAGCCTCAAACATCTTATGGGCCAAGACAGACACTATGAAACAAGCTGGCTACAATTCACATAGCAAGCAGGGGTCATAGGGATAGGTTTTATTATGTTTCGACGGGAAGAGTCTCAATCATGTATTTCATACACAATCACAAATTAAAGTAAGCAGCACATTCACTACACAGAGGATCTCACACCCTCTATGCTAATAATATGCCTGGAAGTTGGAAGCTGGATGAAATTATAGGTACACTACTTATGTGAAATACATGCTAAATTATCAAATAAGATTGTGGACCATAGAGATAAACTGGAACTGTCCTGGGCACATTAGCACACACAATCAATTTACCTACAACTGAATTGTTAGGTTTTGAAAGGAACTTGCCAGCATTCTTGGAAATCCAGGCAAATCAATTGGAATCCTTCACCTCTTTATCAAACATTTATTCAATATTAGCATGTGTCAGGCACTGAACTAAATGGTAGTAAAAAACAGGTGAGCATAAGATTGTTCTCAAGTGCAGCAGCCAGGAATTTAGCTCAGGGCTGTAAGCGCCTGCCTGCCAGCCCGAGGTTGTGAATTGGATCCCAATATCAAAACAAAAAAAACAAAAGATTGTTCTCAAGTGTTCAAGAATAGAGAGACAGACACTCACAGTTGTAAATGGGAAAGATGACAATGAAGGAGAGGTTAACAGACATGTTTCTGACACCACTTTACACCTTGTGCTTCCGAAGTTCCTCCAAAGCCCAAATCAACCTGGCTTTCCATCTTCATACTGGCTTGCAGTTCCAAGCCTCCTGCACCCTCCCCCTTATCAGTTCCTTTGTCTTGCTTCCAGCTTTGAACTCTCAAGTGCAGTGCCAGAGTGAAGATGTATATAAATCAATCTTCATGCATTTTTATTTCCTTGGAACATACTTCTTGAAGTAGAATTTCTGGGCCTCAATGTATCCAAAACAGAAAAGCTTTCATCTGCTCCAAACAAGTTCTTCACTTCTATGGCCTCACCAATGATTTCTTTTTATCATTTTTTGAGACAAGGTCTCATGATGCAGTTCAGTCTGGCCTTGAACTAACATTGTAGCCCAAACTGGCCTTGAATTTAGAGCAATCTTCCTGCCTCAGCTTCCAAGTGTTGAGATTATAGGGCACATGCCACCACACCCAGCTTTCTTTAACTGTTAATCAATCTTGTTTTTAATCTCCTGTCCTTATATTGCTAGTTAAATTAATGAGATTTGAAAATATAGCTGAAGAAAATGACCATTACCATTTTGTCATACCTATTTCTTAATCTTTATATGCATTTAATATTGTTAAAGGTATAATATGACTATAATTTTAATACTTTTTTAACCCTTTGAACCTATCATGAGCATTCCTTAGCCCTTTTTAATACATTTTAATGAATGTATACTTAGATAGCTTACATATAGACGCACTTACTTTTGTAAAAGTCTGATTTCTAGTTCTCTTTTCTCATGTATTCATTGTCTGTTCTCTAAGAAAAACTCAAGGAATAGATTATTTTCTCTGCCATCTCTTTTATTTTTATCCCTTAGGAAGCACAAAGCCCCCAAACTGGCCTAAACCAATCTATGATCTTGATAAAAGCAATCCAGACAACAATGGCTTCCTCAACGATGACTTCATTGTCTGGATGCGGACAGCTGCCTTTCCTACATTCAAAAAACTATACCGTAGACTCTATCGAATCCACTATTTTACTGAAGGCTTGCCTGCTGGTAATTACAGTTTCAACATATCCTATAGTATCCTTTTATACCCCTTTTCCTTTTTTTTTTATTTTAAAGAGGGTAAAATTAAACATAACAAAACATCATAAGAAAACAATCTAAGAAACACAGATTTCAAAGCAAGACCACCGGAGACCTTCACTGTCTAGCATATTATCTCTTGTTTTCTTCCAAATATTTGTCCATATCTTCTACACAGTGAATTCATACCAAACCAAATAGTACTAAGCTGATGAAGGCATTTTAGGTCTTCAAGGCCAGACAATAGGGAAGTCAACAATGGCTGCCATAATGTTTCTCGTTCTCTTCAAAATACCTGTTTATACCTTAACGTATGTTGAAATTAAAAGAAAACAGACTAACATCACTCTGTACAGAGAATAATAGTATTGCTAGGTTTTATATCATAACACTACATAATTAGCACTGGGTATCTTAGTGTCTCTTTTTCTTCAGAGTATCTGTTCATCATGCTTTATATAATCAATTCTTGTAAACTTGTTTAGAAGTTCTACACGTTTTTTCCAAAACATAAAATGAAAAAGACATATAAAACCACAATACTAGGTGATCTACAGTAGTTACTATGATGTCTCTTGTTATTTTAAATAAAATTATCTATATCATCAGGCATAATATAACTGAACATAGCACTACATAGCAATATTAATAAAAACAAAACATTGGAGACATTATAGGACTTCAAAAGCAGTTAATGAGCAAACCAGAATGGGTATCCTATTGCATCTTGTTGTCTTCAGAGTAATTTCCTTTACTCTTAGACTTGATACTATCAAGCAAACCAAATTCAAATAAAATCAGTCAAGACAAAACAGCAATCTAACAAATCAGCTTCAAATAAGATCAGTCATACTAAGACAGTGTAAGTAATACAGGGCTTCAGGTTAATAGGAAGTTAAGGATCATTACTGTAGTATAGCCTGCTGTTTTTGTGCCCTCAAATCTAGTATGAGTAGACAGACTAGAACAGAATAAAATCAAACTAAACAGAGCGATAAGACTAATGTGGCTTTTAAATCCTGATACACTATTAATAATGTCCTCTGCCTTCCTTTTTTAGACAATTCCTCCCCTTTCCCTTTCTCAAGGTGCTTTGTATATTTTGGGTCCTGCTAACTCCTTTAGTTTTTAGATTAGGGAGGCAACCCACTGTGGTTCTGAAACTTTTTACTCCTGAGCTTTATCTCAAGTCATATCCATTTACCTACAAGAGCTTCATGATTTTCCTTCCTTATATCTGAGTAGTTCTCTATTGTATCAAAGTGTTATGTCTTTCCAACCAATCTGCAGCTGAAGGGCGAGCTACCTCCACTTTTTTCTGGTTCCCTGCCACATAGAGCATTATTTTCTCATCTTTGACTTTCAGTCTATAAGCTTCTTTCAGGTTAATTATATTTCTTATGTAGAGAACCTTGATGGACTCTATCTCCTGATCCACTCTGCCTGTGTTTCTTATTATTAGTATACTGAGGCCATGTATGTTAGTGATTATGGCCAACCTTCTCTGCCTCATCTCTGCAATGCTATTTTTCTGCCATTGATTGTCTGTATTTCCCCTTCATTCCACTGTCTGCCCCATTCAGTGAGTCCCCTCTACCACTGTTCCTGAAACCATGATGTTTTCTTTCTCTCTCTCTAGAATGTCCTTCAGTATTTTTCATAGTGTTGGATTGGTGGTCACGAACTCCTCCAGTTCCTCTTTGGAAGCATTGTGTTTCTCCATTAATTTTAAGAGACAGTTTTTCAAGGTACATCAATCTGGGTTGGAGGTTATTTTCTTTCAGGGCTTGGAATATTTCCTCCAAGCTCTCCTTGATTTGATGATTTGTGTCAAGAAGTCTGTCATGATTTTGATGGGTTTTCCTTTATAGGTGATCTGTTTCTTTTCTCTGACAGCTTTTAATATTCTGTTCTTATGTTGAATCCCTGGGATCTTGATTATTATATGTCTGAGTGTAGATCTACTTTGGTTATATCTGGATGGACTTCTGTATGACTCATATGTCTGAATATCATTTTCTTTTCCTATGCTTAGGAAGTTTTCTTTAATTATTTCTGTAAATAGCCTTTGTATTTCATTTGTTTTTACCCCTGCTTCTTCACTGACATTTTTTATTCTTGATCTATAGATCTTTTTATCATCTTCTTGCCTTTGTATTGTTACTTCCTGGTTCCTTGTTTTTTTTTTTTTTTTTTGGCTTTTTTTCCGTTTTTATCGGTACCAGGGATCGAACTCACGACTGCCTGCTTTCAAGGCAGGTGCTTATGCCGCTGAGCTAAATCCCCGGTTCCTTGTTATTTTTTTTTTTTTTTTTTTTAAGAGATCTTTCCTTTCATGATCACACATTGCAAACTTGTCTTCAAGTTTGGTAGTCTATCTTTAGTTTCTTTCAAGCTGTTTTGCCAGCTTTCAATGAAATTTTTAATTTCCTGGTAGTCTTTTTGAATCTGTGTCATGTGTTCTAGATTTTTAAAATATTTTTCATCAGAGGTTTTCCTCCCTTTTCTGGGTTCCTGCATTCTTCCATCTCTGTCTTCTTGAGAGGTGCTTAGTATTCCTTTTATTAATCTTTTTATATCTTGCTTCACTTGATTTAGAATTTCAGTTTTAAGTTTGTCTATGACGTCACGAAAGTATTTCTTTATGTCTGCTGATGCTGTGTCGGATATTGCATGATTGCTGCACTGGATCTCTTCAGTATTTACCTCTCCTGGGCTTCTTTTCCCTGGGTCAGTGGCTGGAGGCTTTTTCTTGTTTCTTTCTCTTGTCATGTTTCTAGTTTCTTTCAGTAAAGTATACGGTGGAGGTCGCAGGCCTTTTCAGTATTGCTTACAGTTTTCTGAAGTGTGCTGGCTAGGGGGTTGTTGCCCTCTCCAGTTTACTGTTGATTTGTGAGATACATGCAGGGACAATGTGGGCAGGCCCCTCTCCTCTGAGCCAATCAACCAGTGAGTGCCTTCCCTACATTAGTCTGTGTCATGCAGACGTCACAGGTTCAGGACAGTTTTGTCCCTGGCTATTGGGTCCTGACCAGGGCGTAACTCAGCCCAAGCAGGTCCTGCCAGTCCTCTTCGGCCAGGAGCGGCTGACTGATGCCACTACAGTTTCAGGTTCAGTCCCTTCCTGTCCAACTCCAATATGTCATCCAGCCGGTCACGCCCTCCACGGGACCCAATTCCTAGCACTCACCATGGGTTAGTGCAGCTTTCCACATTGGTTCCGCTCTCCACTGCACCGCATCCTCCTACCAAGGGCCTTGGGCTCACCAACCCCGCGACTTCAGACTTGGTGCTACTGTGACTTCAGCATGACCGTGAATTGTCTGACTCCAGGGCACGCCCAGCACAGCATGGGACCGGCTCCAGTGAGAGTGCATCTGGTCCCAGCCATTCATCCATGTTTTTCCTTCCTTCCTTCCTTCCTTTCTTTTTTTCTTTTTCCTCAGTTTCTTCCTGGGTTGTGACTCCCTCTCCTTTCATCTGGTTTTCTCCATGGTGTTAAATTCTAGCATCTGAGTTGTTTTTCTCAGAGAGGCTCTCTACCCTGCTACCTATCGATCTGCCATCTTCCCAGGATCTCCTTTTGAGTAGAGAGATGACTTTTACAGAGTGCTTTGGCCTTTTGTGCTATTCTCAACTTGGGTTATTCTTTTTCTACTCCACACCAGAGGTTTAATTTTTCAATTTGAAGCAAGGAAAACTTGTAATCATTGCCATGGATTCCTGTGACCTCTGTGTCACCACTGCCTTCCCCCGGTAGCCAGTCTTGGGGAATAGCACCCCTTTTTATTTTTCAAGCTAAAAGAAAATCTGGTTAGTAGTTATTGAATCATTTCACTGTATTCTTCTTTATTCTCCAATCAAATACTTATACCAAAAATTATATTTTGTTACAGATCATCCTGCATAGGACTGGAAAATATTGTCCTCTATTCTCCTAGGGTCTTCACCTGGGACTACTCTAAGACAGATCACCAGGAAAAAAACGTACTAAGTCTTCATTAATACATGGGAACCTTTAAAAGAAAACTGAGTACCCAAAGAAGCAACCTAGCTAAGTGTTTATGTAGCTGAAAAAAGAATGGCAATTATGGGAAGATAATTAAAATTAACAATTAGTTTGAGTTTGTTTAGATAGATTTTTCTTGGCCTCAACATCTAGTCTCTTGTGATAAAAATGTTTCTTTTCTCTTATAGAAGGATATCTTTTTTTTAAAGAGAACTTTATTCTTTATTAAGATACCATACCAGAATTTATTGAAGATTTCTGTTGGGACACATTTGGAAAATAGAATAGCTTTTGTTTAATAACTTGTGCTGCAAAGAATAGAAGGGCATCTTTCACATAGGAGTTTTATCCCTTGTCTTTAGGAAAGAAATAAGTCAGAATGCCCTTCTTGCACTTGCTGCTTTAAAGTCCCTTTATGTCGGGTCCTGAATAGATCCTCAATCTCCCAAACAAATGTACAGCAAAGGCATAAATAAATAAGACAAGTGGTATGATTTTAGGGCTCCAGGAGGGTCAAAACCCTTTAGCTGAGTTTAAGACTCTGAGAGTTAAGATATAGACTTCTCTGAACCACCCATATTTATTAGGTCCAAACAAAGACTGAGGAAACTAAGGAAAGTGTGGGCAATGAGCAGGACTTTGGGAGTCATTTCAAGGATATCTCCAAGTAGTAAATCATGCCAATTTAGAACTGTCTTATCTCCATGATGACACGGTATGAGTGAGACTATAGGAATAATTCCTGAAACTGCAGTCTCTATTAATTAGTGCTGGAGCAAATGTGTCCTCAGCTGTGGCCTTATCTTTCCCTTTGAGGTATCTCTAGCCTCACAGACCACTGCAGGCCTCATCCAGGACTAGTGATTCATAGAGCTTCACTTACTATGAATCAGCTCCCGTCATCAAGCAAGGGGCTGAGGCTTAGGACAGACTCACAGATAAACATAGAAAGCCAATTAGTTAATTTTAAATCCTGCTCAGAGCTGCTTTGTAGTGGTCTCCAACACCTTTAGCTGAAAATAACATCCCAAAGAGGCATATTTTTGGGTGGCCTGTCCTCAACCTCGATTTGTCTCCCTGTGATACACTTAACAGTCTCAGGTAAAGTAGAGATAAGTACAGAAAGAGTATTTCTGTTCCAAAGAAAGACTAGATAACAATGTACCTAAAGATCTAAAACAGTAAAGAAAAAGAAGTACAACAATTAGCATGGGATAAGATGACGAATCATGAAAGTAAAGAGAGAAGAATCTGTTAAGAAACAAATTTGGAGTGTGGACCAAAACTAGCAGAAACTGAAAGAGATTGTAGAACCTTTTATTCTAGACAACAATATCACACTGCAAGGGAACCCTGGGCTCAAGATACAGAACCAGCAAACAGGACTGAGTGCCTTAATAATGGATGTATGGTCCAAGTTCAAAAACCAATGCTTTAATAAGAGATTACAAATTTTTTACTTAATTAAAAAATAGAAATGTGGATGAATTTAAAAGTAAAAAAGATTTAACTTTAAAATGACCTCAAATGCTATACTTACATACTTAATATATTAAATTACATACTTAATTCTAGAATTAATTTTTAAATCTTTGATTTTTTCCCCCCTGGCAAAAATCTCTTGGAGGCAGAATCTTTTCCAGTGTGCATCCACTTTTCAAACTTAATCCAGATTAGATATCAGAACTTCTTATTCAGTGGAACTAGCAACATGCCAGAGGTTGTTAATGCAAAATTGTTCACCTCCTTAATCTCATCATCCCCATGGAAGCTAAATGGGAAATTCTTGGAGAAATATGAATGATACATGTTCTAGTTCACTACTACATGCTTTCTTCTTTCCTTGCCTGGAGAAGGTGGGCGGCTGTCTTCATCTGACAGGGGAGTGGGCATCCTTTTGTACTACTTGGTCATTAGCAGAGTCTCTAAATCTACTTTATGAAAATAAAAGGCACAATATGCCTTTATTTAGATATTTATCAAAGAGTAAACTGTAGATTACCTTTTGAAGAAGAATTTTAACAAACTCTCTCAAGAAAACCTAAGTATAGACTGAAAGTTGTTAATAACTCGTCTCAAGGTGAACTTCCTAGCCCTGTCCACTCTGTGACTGCCTTACCAAAAAAGAAGTTATAGCTACATTCAAGAAATGGGGGAAGTCATGCACTGCTGTCCTCACAGTGCATTATAATAAGGCTTGGGGAAGAAAAGGAAGGCTGTGTTCCACATGAAAGACACTATGTTCTTCCTCTCTGAATGTGCTCTCTGTGATGCCTTCATTCACGGTCATGCTTGACTTCTGAGCACTCTCAAAACTAGATTTCTATTCAGAACTTTGGTCCTGATTTTCAGTCCTACACTTCTATTACCTGTGCAAACCTGACTGCCAGGCAAGAAAACCAAGCTCTTGCACACAGACAGTGCCTACCACTTCTAGGGGAGAACATCTGTCCTCGTGTGAGGGAAAACGACCCTGCCTTTCTAAAGGAAGTGAGAGAGAACACAGGCAGATAGGTTGAGGTGGCATCCCAGGGCCTGGTGACAATGAGGAATTCTGATGTAAAAGAAAAAGAGAGCAAGTTTCCTAAAAAAAGTTCCCTTGCATCGCTAAATAGCTTGTTGCCAAGTGATTTAAGACATTTTAAGAGCTTTGCTGGGAAATGTGTCTGTTGTTGCTATAGAAGCCTTTGTTTATTAGTTTCATTTCCAAAGGACACCAGATGTTTAAAAACCTCAGGCCACATGCATAATCAAAATGACATCATTAAAACACTAATGATAGCAAACCCACTTTAAATACTTTCTCCCCAGCAGCAGGGATGCAGGCCACTTCAGAACCCAAACAAATGTATTGCCTTTAGTTTTTCTACCAAAATGTTCTCTCTCTCTCTCTCTCTCTCTCTCTCTCTCTCTCTCTCTCTGGCCATCTATGTATTTATTTTGCTTCTTCACTGTCCTAAAAAAGTTTTCTCTGAAGTAGGAATTTAAACTTTGGCCTATGAGGGAGCTTAGTCTTCCCTTGGTCTCCTGATTTTAAAATAAAAATTTAGGTTTGCTGTAAAAGCTATCTATATTAACTGCCTTAGATTCATCATGAAAAATTATTTATTATTTCAGTACTTAGCTGTCTGTAAGTCATTCAGATCTACCTGTATCAGAATTTCTTTTGTAGAGTGCAGGCCTGTTTTTATTAAATTTTATTCTACCAAAATAGAGACAATTGCTTAATTAGGTTGTCCTATGAGACTTAATATTCAACCATTTTCTAACTACCAAGAAAGCAACTTTATATGGTTTAACCTAAAATATTTAGTATATACAGTGGTGGAAACGAGACATGATAAGACATATCCTTAACCAATCTTCTTAGATTTTCCAGTAACCAGTTTCGGAGGACAAAAATCTGTTGTTCTTTCCACGCTGACATGGTGTGGAGGTGGTTGCTTTTTCTTAGGGGTTGCCTATACAGTGACAGGAGCATTAACATGGTTGGCCTCTTTTGTTTTAATGGCCATTCACTTGACATGGAAAAGAAAGAAAGTAACTTACCAAGAACAAAGTCATGCCTTATGAAGAAAAGCAGAAAATCGAAGTCGACAATAAAGTAACAGAGACACAGATCTTTGACGTGGCTTGAAATGACTGAGATATTTCAAGAAGGGGAACTGGATTGACTGGGCAAATACAATCCCTGATAAATGCTTCTGAGTGGTCTGAGAAGGGCAGAAAATAGAGGAGGAATAGGAAAAGGGGAAGGCAGAGGAGGAGAAGAAGGCATATTTGTGTGTAGTAAACTGTTCTTGAAATGGAAACAATAAATCATCCTTGAGCTCTAAATTAAGTCTTGGCTATCTATTTGAAGTCCTTATGCCTGAGAGCAGGTGAATGGCCACGAACAACACCATTATGAGACAATAGTAAGTAACACAGGGATTCCTCAAATTCAGTGAAGAGTTTTAATATTAGTTGGGTTCAGACTGTTGACTGGTTGAAATTATTATGGCCTTCCCAGGAACAACTGCTGAAATGTGAATCAGAATGATTTCTGGAGACTGTTTTATTCAATGTTTTCTTCTGCCAAGGAACTGATCACACCCCCCAGATACCTGCGAGCAGGGAATAAAGACAAAAATCAATATTCAAGGTACAAGGGGACTGGGAGGAACCTGCCTCTAGCGGACAGGCACAACAATCTCCACGGTTGTCTCACTTTTATTAGCAAATGAGATGTACAGGGAGGATATAGTGTAGTTTTCATGAAACAGTGACCGTACTAGATTGGGGATGAGTTAAAAGAGAACAAGTCCTCCTCTATTTTAATACACCTCCAGTCCTTAGATTGTCTTCAGGGATGTTGTCTTGCCTTAGGAATGCTGCAGCTAGGAGTTTACTCTGCACAGAAGGCAGCATGCACCCTGTGCACAGCACACTTCTGTGTTCCTAAAGCAAGGTCGCACTGGCCTCAGGATCATGGGACCCCAGACTCATAGCCTGATCTCCAACATTCTTCTTTCTATGGAATCAAAACTCAATTTTCTCTGCTAAAAATAAGCAAAATAAAGGTTATGGCAGCGCCCTGAGCAATCAAAGTAAAGTTTCTTTAAAGTTGTCTTGTGAGCGGGAAGGAATAACTGAAAGTTACTGATACTCAGAAATTATGTTCAGCATATTGAAGGTACAAAAAAATTCTAGAATTTAAACTAGGATGTCACACTTTATAATACAAATGATGACATGGATTTATGATACCTGAATTATATGTGTTGAGGGAGCTTCTCAAGCTCTATCTTAAACGTTTTTCATTCCTGCCAAAGTCATTTATAGGAAACTAGAATGGAAGACTTAGTAAACATGCCAGGGCACAGAGATTTGTGTCTCTAGATGACCACGATATTGAACTTTTTTTGTTTAAGAAAGTGAACTACCTATATGCTAGGCAAATGCTCTACTATCGAGCTACATCCTTAGCCCCAAACAGGATATACTTTAAAAATATTTTTATATTAATTTTTGAGGTAGAAGAAGCTTTTCTGTATGAGTCTAAGAACAGAATTGCCATTGTTAACAAAAAAAAAAATACACTACCAGTGATTTTGCCTCTTCACAGCCAGAAAAGCATTTCTTTATTGAAAATTTCTACATTTATCAAATAATAAAGAGCTTTTCAAAAAATGACATGGTTTAACTACCAACTCTGAGTCCTTCCTTCTCCACCTCAGCTCTAATGCATAACCAGCTACCTGTGGTGACCAGGTATGGCAGACTATATAATGTCCCATTGCTACGGCTTGTAGGTAGACATGCCCCAAAGCTTCATGTAGTCATGGGTGGGGTTTTTTGGAGATGGCTGGATGTAATGTGATGCTGAGATCAAGGATGCAATGTTAGGATTAAGGACTTAACTGCCACTTGTCTAAGGGCAGGAAGCCTAGATAAAATATAAGAGCCAGAAAAAGGGCTAGTTGCTTGCTTGATACTTGTTGCCTTCTGCCTGCCCTGCTTTACCATGGACTGTTTATCCTCTGCTCTGCCACACTACCTTGGAGTTGACCAACTATGAGCTGAAGCCTCTACGAACTGTAAGCCAAATAAACTTTTTGTTCTTCAACTCTGAGTGTCAGATATTTTGTGTCAGCAATGAGAAAATTAAGACACTCATCATCATCAATGCAATCACAAAGGTCCATGTAAGAGGGAAACAAGATCAGGAAGTAGTGCATGTGACAACAGAAACAGGAGATCAGGGTGATGGGAGGAAAGGGCCATAACCCAAAAAGTGAAAACAACTTTAAAAGCTAAAGAGCTCAAGAACGTACTCCACTCTGAAGCCTTCAGAAGTCAGTGTCCTGAGTTGACATCCTTAAATGTAATACAATAAATTTATGTTGTTTAGCAGTATATGATAATTTATTACAGTAGTGATAGAAAAATGAATATACTAGAGATTGGCAATGTTCTAGGCATCTGAGCAATATTTTGGGGGGTGTATGTGGCCTATTCATGTCAAAGTGCAAGGAAGTGACAGAATTCATACATGAACCAAATTGCTGCCTCAAAATCCTGGAATCTTAGCACTTTGGTCCACACGCCTCAGTTATGGTGTTGGTTAGGAAACACACAAACACATTTACTGTACAGGCTACAATGTGAGTCAGTGTTTACAGAAATAGAACAAATAGTGTGTGTGTGTGTGTGTGTGTGTGTGTGTGTGTGTGTGTGTTTGATAAACAGGCCAACAATTAGGTGTGCTTTTAAAAAATTGTATGATTGTGGAGCTTGACAGGTCTACAATTTTATAGGTAAGGCCTGTTTAAGAGAGTTGCATTTAAAGCCCAAAGGCATTCTGCTGCAAAACCAGAAGAGCTGATGTTACAAACGAAACAACAAAATGAAAATCTAAAGTTCTGGAGAATTCCCTCTGTGCTATTCAGGCCTCCATGCATCAGGGAGGACAACATGCTTTACTGCAAGTCCACCAAGTTAACTATAAATCCCATACAAAAACACCTTCACAAAAACATCTACAATGACGTTTGACAAAATCTCCGTGACCCAGGTGAGCTGGCATGTAAAGTTAACCAAGAAGGCATTTATGTCCAACTAGAGTCAAGCAGTGCTCCAAAATAGCACTCTTCTTTTCACTTTGGCCCAGAATTTATTTAATAGAAGACCTATACAAGTCATATTCACAAGAAACTAAACTGAGAATGATTGATGGCCAGAATTTATGCCAGAGTGTAGATTGCGTGGATTTTCCCCCTGCTCAAAATAGTTTGTCTTCATAGCCCTCTCACTTTGCTATGAAGTGTAGGACCTGCCCTCCTTAATCTTGACAGAAAAGAGTATAATAATCCATCACTAATTTGACTTCTCTAATTTTGTTTCTCTCCATCTGACCATTGCATCCCAGCCCCAATCATCGTTTGTTTCTCCACCTTTTTCTAATTCTTCATTTGTTTGTCTACTTTGTCTTTTCTTAAATTTTGTTTTATTTTCCAGATGAGGTCTGACTCTGCTGTTTGTGTTAGTTTCAAACTCTTGAACTAACGTTATCCTCTTGCATCATTCTGCTGAGTGTTACTACAGCGGTACACTACTACACCTGGCTTATCTTTGGGTTTTTGTGAACTGGATGGTGGAAGCATGGAAAAAGTGTGCGCTACTCTAGTTCTTTCTCCAACTTCTGGGAATAATGCTGATGAAAGGAGAGGAAAAAAGTGAGTGTGAGATCAAGAGAAAACAATCAAAAACAAGAGTGATGAGAGCTTGTGAGTGCATACTTGAATGTATGATGTGTAAGCACACATTAGTGTGAGAGTCTCACTTTAGAAACTCAGAATTTTAAGTGCATGGGCACAGACAGATATGAGATTGAGTAAGAGTATAGCATTGACCTTTATGTGAAATTTACTTATACAACACTTATCCTCTGTGACAAATTCACTATGCTGAGGATATCAACATGAGACCTCTGTAACTTGGGCTATGAAGGGATCTCATCTCATACAGATCGTTGTATCTCTCTATACCTGCTCATACTCACCCCCCATTTTGCATAACCCCATTTTATTCAGACTTTTGTCGGTGTCCTATGAGTCAGTTTGGCTTCTTCAGATGAAGAAAGGAAGTGATCCCCTAGGGCAGGATCAGTTTCCAATTCTCCCTGTGTAATCCCAAAACATCTATATCAGAATGACCACTAATTTGCACAAAACATCATTTTCCCAGCCTGCATTAAAGCCTTTCTAATGAATGCTGGTTTTTCATATGCTGTGTTTCACTGTATAGGCTTTATTAACCATATGTTAATAAAACCAGCTTCAGACAGCTGCTTGGTGGTTTTCCTCTGCCATGTGTCCAACAGAGTGCTACAATGCTGTGGCTGGTGGTTGTCAACATTTTTGTCTCTGGTTGTTCATGAATGATTGTACTGCAAAGCAGACTTCTGGTTTCTCTACTGCGTAAGACACGGGGAATTCCATTCGTCCTTCTGAGAGTCAGCGGAGTCACTTAGGGATTCAGCTCTGTCTCCTTCACCAGGACTGGTTCACAATTCCACGGCCCACTCAGATTTGGTTTGGCAAACACAGGTTCCTAAAATCTTCATTCTCCTTTTACCTGGGCACAGTGCCAATACTTTGTTGATACTTGATAGTTCCACGCACTTAAAGGTAGGTCAGAGTCCCTCCCTTCTAAAAAAAATCTCAGCCCTTTCTCATTTAAAATGATTATCTGGTAAAATAATTAGAGGAGAAGGAGGTAAAATTATGAGATTTGGATTACAGTGACTCAAAATAGCAGCTCATATAGAAGGGAGGGGGGAAAAGCTTTTTGCAAAGATTCAGGCTTGTACAATATCCCCATTCTAATCCTGTGGCAGCCACAAAATGATTCAGAGCTACTCTGACAAATGCAGGAATTCTTCAAAGTCTGAGAAATGAAATACTGTCTAACAACGACTCTTCCTTTTTTGATTAGTGTGGAGCTCATATCCTGCTTGCAGAGGCAGCATCCAGTTTTCTAATTCATTTTCACCACAGTTGGAATGGAAAAATTGAAGTCATTGCTCTGACAGCAAGAAACATCTTGTGGTGCTCAGAGCCAGCAGTCAGTACAGACAGACTCAGGCCAGGGCGCCTCTTGCCTCTTTTTTCTATGGAAAGAGCTTTATGACACCGAAACATGATTTTCAATGTAAAAATAGTATACTCCAGATTTTTTCCTTCTTTTATTTATAAGGATTTCTCAGTTTTTAATTCGTGACTGACACCTGGAGACTAGCCATAGAAGCGTGTTACTCAACTGAAGTTTAGGGCTTTCTTAAAA